TTTTTTTTTTTTGATCTGTTGTGACTTTGAAGAGGACCCTCAAACCAAGATATCCTCAGATGTGTTCGCATCGGTAATCTACAACGCTTTTTTTTTTTTTTTTTTTTTTTTTTTCCCATGGACCTGCTGCACTTTGTGCCTGATCAAACTCGCACAGTCAGTCACTCCGGGAGAAGGAAGGAAGGATTCCATTGCATTTCTTATTAGCGCATGACGTTCTCCACCCGTGGCAAAGGCTCGAAGAAGAGCAGACGCTTGGCGTCTGAATCCCACGGGCTCGTCAGCAGAGCTGCTCCGTCCAAGAAATCACAAGAAACACCACTTTTTTTTTTTTTTTTTTTTTTTGGTTTGTAATCCGTGGTTCGGTTTGTAATCCTTGGCCCAATCAATCTCACAAAGGTTCCTCTGTATACACCGACTCATCAGTGCCTTGGTTTGGTTCGGTTGATTTCAGGTTGGGGCAACTACTTTTAAGTTGTAAGTTTTTTTTTTTTTTTTTTTTTTGAATTTGGACCATATCTCGATTTATGCGTGTCATCCTTGCGCAGGGGCCATTTGCTAATCTTGTCTAGGTTCTCTGTATCGTTCCAATTTTAACGGATGTCTCGAAGGACCTTGTAAATTTTGGGAATGCTTGCAATCTGTAACCTATGAAAGAAGGTAAAGCGTGACATCCTCCAAAAAGAAAAAAAAAAAAAAAAAAAAGCGTGACATCGACCCGGATGGTTCCCTCATCGGGGATAATTGGATTGGATAGCCCAGGGGCCAGGGGCGAGACCATGAGAAGGTTACTACAAGTACAGATGACAGTCGCAGATTCAAGCAAGCAGGGATAGTCCCTACTAGTAGGTTAGACAGGCAAATTGTTCGTCAGTAGGAGAAAGCAGCAGCTGGTTCACAGTATCAGTCCCAAATTTCCTATCTGGTGCCCTCCCTTGGAGGGTGAAGAGATACAAAGGGAACAGCAGCATCCCAAGGTCTGCATCAGGGCTGCCTAGTCAAGGCTGCCCTTTTGGTTTTCAGGGTCTTACAAGCACCTATGGCCCTGCTCAGTCAATCCCCTGTTTTTGCAGGGCTATCAATGCTGGCAGCTCCACAGGAAGAGAGTTTTCAAAAAAAAAAAAAGAAAAAAAAAAGGATTGGATAGCCCAGGGGCCAGGGGCGAGGTTCCCCTCGCGAAGAGGTTTGGATAAAGCGCCTGAATCTGGATCTGATGTTGGCACAGATGCAGAAAGGCAGATCAATCGGGAGTTTACGCACCTGTCCATAAACAAGATCAGATTCAGGCCATAAATCCAATCAACTTTGCTAGTGGGACCTCGTAACACCCGCGAGATATGTCCAGACCGATCCTGGTGGAAGATTCTCACACTGTTGTTGGTCCCTTGGTGCCCTCTCTCTCTCTCTCTCTCTCTCTCTCTCACACACACACACACACACACACACACACACAGACACACGCACACACACACACATGTGGGAACTGGGGAATGTCATCTTGTAGAAGCACTGCCATGATGCCATCCCCCTCGCCGCTCCCACTTTTCTCTACCAAAGGGAGAAAGAAAGAGAGAGGACCATTGTGGGCAGACAGCTGCTGGGCATGAGAGTAATTTCTGCCATCGGGTACTTGGGTATACCGTACACCTATTTTTGGTCCACTCGAGTCCTGGGGCAGGGTCGCACTAGCAAAAAGGGATTGGATTAAGCTCCTGAATCTGGACATGTTTTAAGCAGAGGTGCAGAAACGCAATTCAATCTCCCTTTTCTGCACCTTTTTCCCGATGATGTCCAGGTGCAGGCATTCAATCCAATCCTCTTTGCTAGTGGGACCTCGCCCCTGGGTAAATTTGCCCTGGCCCCTGGGTATATATATCCATAATCTGCACAGCCCAGCAGTTGGTTTAACTGCAATTTGCAGGTACCTACCCCTGACAGGGCATGAAACAATTTCCATAGGGCATTTTCCGGGTATACATACCAGATGGGCACATAAGAGTCTGATACGACGGCGACACACAATTCCCATGCATAAACAGGCTAGAGATGCAGCAACTGTTTTCCCTTTTCTTAAAAATACAATAATTGCAATTGGGAGGGAGTTCATTTGTTACAGTAACTCCCTTTGTGGTCAAGATTTGGTCCATCTGCCCCCCAACGGTCTTCCCCCGAACATAACGACCCTAAAAATGAATGTATACACGCTATATTTCCGGCCAGATACAACGAAAATGAGGGTGCGTTGTGTTCGGGGGAAGACGGTAGCCTGTCCTTCCCCAAACCCCACGCACCCTCATCATAACTGTACCACCTGATCCGCCAACCTCTCCGTGACCTGACCTTTCAAAAAAAAAAAAAAAAAAAAAAAAAGAAACCCACTTCTCCGTGACCTTCTTGAGGTCCTGGACTCTTTCCGACTTGGGCTCTCTTGAGCTGCCTGTAGTAGGTTGAGGCGGGGGAGGCGGCGTCCACCATCACGATGACTTCTTGGGTGACTTACCATCAGTAGCGTAGTGCAGTCCAAACCACTTTTCCAGTGTTTGGTTTGGGCAACCACCGCATATTAATGATGGTGTCGGATGCAAGATCATGGAGACTCTGAGTTGTTTTGAGGCTTATTAAATATATTTTTATGCACTTAACACCGTGACTGTTAACAGGGATTTTTGTTTTGAAGTTGAAGTCAATACGTCTAAATGTTAGAGACAAGTTGAAGCAAGGGTTCTCTTTTGATGAGAATAGTGTGTGGTAGGAAGTTTGATTGCCAAAAATTGTTCCCTTTTTTAAGGTTCTTTAGCTCTTGAAGTTATATACCATATGAAGGTGATTATAAACTTTAAGTCGTCATCTGCTTAACAATTGTCTAGCTCCTAGATCATATATGTAGCCTAAAATCTTGTAGTTAGATTATGATCTGATTATCTACTCGAGAGCTATTTACTAGGGGGTCTTTGAATGATAGTCTACTAGTATAATAAAGTTTGATTATGAAGTAACTGTTATGAAGTCATCTAGTAGTTCATCAAGCCGTGCGGTATGAAGTTTGACTACAAGCTTATGAAGTTTTATATGGTGAAGGTATGTATGAGAAGGCTTGTGCAAAAAATGCGTTTTTGAATCATTATATTTCTTGGGGGTATTGTGCTTCTGCAGTGTATGCTCTATTTTCTGTTTGGCGGAGGGAAGCGGGGGGCAGGGGGAGAGGGAAAGGGGGGGGAGGAGGCTGGGGTTCTTGCTCCTTTGCTTTCGAATTTACTTGGAGGATTGTCTCCATTGATTGGTTGTGCATGGAGCGACTAATTTGACTGTCTTTGCGGATACCACTAAATACATCAAAAGACCTTTTTTTTTTTTTTTTTTTTTTTTTTTTTTTTTTTTTTT